AAGAAATATAAAACTACCATAAAGAAATGCAAAACTACCATAAAGAAATATAAAACTACCATAAAGACATGCAAAACTACCACAGAGAAACAAAACTACCATAAAGAAATACAAAACTACCATAAAAAAATACAAAACTACCATAAAGAAATATAAAACTACCACAGAGATACAAAACTACCAAAAAGAGATGCAAAACTATCTCGACATGCAAAGCTACCACAGGGATGAAAAACTGCTTTAAAGAAATACCAAACTACCACAAAGAGATTCCAATACCACAGAGATGCAACACTACCACAAAGAAAAGCAAAACTACCACAATTGAATAAAAAAACACAAACAGATGCAAAATTATTGCAAATGGATGTAAACTATCACAAAAAGTTGCTAAACTACGACGGAGATGAAAAACTACCACAAAGAGATACAAAACTCCCAAAACATTCATGCAAATAGCCACAGAGTGTGTCTCATTCAGACTGGGTGTCCTGCCCCTCTAGGAGTCAGGGGACAGTTCACATGTCTCTGTCCAGGAGCCCATTGTCTCACAGTCAGTCCACGGTCTGCTGTCACTGTGCAGATACAGTCCCAGTGGTCAGAGTCACAGAGGTGCAGGGAAGCAACAAATCAGATGTAAATTCTGTCCCAGAAGGTTTTTCTTACATCACCTTTCACCGAGTACCGCAGGTAATAGTCCTGCTCTAGATACAACAAACAGTCCAAATCTTTAGTTACCGCAGGTTTTAGAAGCCATGACGTTTGGCTTGTGTGTTTGTTAGTGGGTGCATGGCTACCCATAGGTTTTATGCATCAGGAGATTAGATGCACTGACGAAGAACCCTTGTGTTAGATTTATAGGTCCTTTAATAAACTTCATCAGACTAAAGCTACGGCTGCTGATTAAGGACGTCCAAAGTGCAGTATGCAGTCAGTGTGCTGTTGTATAGGGAGGTAATCCTGTTAAAAACCGTGCAGAAAGTTGGCATGTTTTATTCCAGTGATCAGTGAACTGTAGGAAGTCATTTTTAAAAGAAGCTGACCATGAATACCAGCGGCTGCGTTCATTTCTTTGGGCCATATCGCCTGAAACAAAGTGGGGTGACAGATTATTAAAACATGTCTGTTATAATTTGGCCATCTATACGAGTATAACCAACTTCTGATTCAGTGAAGTTGTTAGCTAGACGATAGATATGAGATGATATGTGAATGAATAAAAGTTTTTGACATCTGATCAGTCAAGCACGCCGCTCAGTATGAACAAGGAGAACTCTGAGGGCTTTTGGTTGTGGACTTCCCACATCCACATACACAACATGCAAGGTACCCTGGGTTCCTTCAACAACAAAACCACGTGGTTAGGTTTAGGAAAAAAGAACAGGGTTTAGCTTTAGAATCTTATGGAACACGAATACTGGTCTCTGGTGTTTGTTAGACCCATCCACCACTCCTCCCACCTGCCCCAGTCGGAGTTTCGCTGCCTCAACTTTCATCCTTGTCCTTTTGTGTTTCCCCGAGGCCACCAGGGGCTGTTAAACTATAACGGCAACTGGATTTCGACCACTTTGGAGTGAGACCTGGCTCGTTTTCCCTCTGTTTTTCTTGTTCCCAGAGGCCTGTACTACAAAGCCAGTTCAACCTACCCAGTTTATCTTCTCATTATCTGGTTTGACTAACCCGTCACATCGGCCGTCTGGATAACCAACACTACAGAGCTGGTTATCAACCAGTTCAGTCAACTCTGGGTTTTTCTATCCAGCCACGAGCAAAGAGGCGGGGGTGTTAGTTATGAGCGACATAATCAGAACCATGAATGAAGTAGGTTTCTTCATATCATAGCTATTACATAGTAACATTAGAATAGAGTATATTTTGCTGTTTAGTTGGATGATGATGAAACTTCCCTGAATCTGTCACATAAAACACTTTAGAGTAACACCAGACTGTTTCTGCTGCTGAAGTAAAGAGTGTAAAAGTAGTTAATGACTGACAAGGTCTGTCTGACTGAAATGTTCCATTTATAATAACAGGAGCAAATTAACAGTGTGGATTATTTTACTAATGAAATATTATCTGTTTTATCCTATTTCTCATCACACAGGTGTCTCATGTTATTTTGAGCTGCAGTGATGAATCAGAGTGTCAATTATCAACACTGTCACTGTGGACTAAAATAAACTTTGCATAAGTTCAAATCATGTGTTCAGTTTGTAAACAATCTGTTTGTTAGACACTCTGTTTTAGAGCCCTGGAACAATGAAATGATTCTGCTGACCTATAACAATATATAGGCTCCTCTTTTTTACCTGCGACTCTGGACTTTTGTCCATGGCTACTTTTTTCTTCAGTGATCTGATTGTTCAGATTTCGGTATGTTGACAGGCTGTGATCCAATACCCTGAAGTTAACCTGCTCTGGAGCAAGTTAGTTGTTTAGCATAAGTTACCACAGTGATTGCAGTAAAAAGAGAACCAGCTTTGTAGTACTGAAAACCCAGAGTTAACCCTGAAGTTACGTCGCTAACTCTGTAGTACAGGTACTGGTTCATTCGTTTGTGGGATATGTGACATGTTGTCAGTTATTGAGAAACACACCCACAGCTGATTAATTCCCTCACACTATGCACGCTTGTGAAATGAGCCCAGTCTTACTCCAGAGTTGTCGAAATCCAGCGCTTGGGCAGTGACTTGCAGCATCAGAAACCAATGAAAAAAGGCTTCCTTTAATGTCAGCATAACACGCGGCTGGTTGCTGTTATAGTTAAACGGCAACAGAAAGAAACATGGCTGGACAAGGACGAAAGTTAAGGTGGCAAAAGTCCAAGCGAGGTGGGCGGGAGGGGTGGTGGACGGGTCCAACGGACACTGACTTTCACCCAAGAGAGCGGTGTTTGTGTCCTGTAAGACTCCAAAGCCAAACCCAGTTCTTTTTTCTTAAACCTAACCACGTGTTTTGGTTGTTGAAGGAAAAAAAACCCATAAATTTGTGGTTGTACCGATGTAGTGCTTTTATTTTGAAAGAGACTGTATGTAAACGTTAAATTTCCTGTGAAAGAAGAAGTGTACTTTGAAAGAAGACAATGCATGCAACAAGCTCAACTTGACACAGTGTCTCAGAACGTCACAACCAACACACCCAGGGTACCTTTCATAATGTTGAAGTGTAAAGTCCATGATGAAGTTGGAGTGAGAATGTGTTGGTGAAATGGGAGGGGCAGTTTCTGTGTAAGCGCAATGTTTGAAATAATGGTGTTGTCGAAAGTCCAGGAGGATGGAAACGTTAGTGTTAATAATAGATTATGAAGCTGAGCAGCAGTGGGCTGATCCTCGGTTGAAAAACTTTTAAATCTGCCAAATATTGTTTTAAAAATTCACTTTAATTGGAACTTGTATAAAACACACCGGTGCAAATGTTAAAACATTGTTTTCATGTCAAAGAGTGGAGAAATTAATGTTTTTAAAAACCCCATCTCTCAGGCCACCTGACCTTCAAAGGTTGTTTGGATGCTTTGGGAAGCTTTTAAAGCAATTAGTGGGACTGATAGCAAGAAAGCCTGTTCATTAAAGAACTTCAAATCAGGCATCAGGCCAACCACTCCTTATAAGAGCACAACATTTTTATGTTTAGAGAATTCTGTAAATGAGTTCCCTCTCAGCTTTGGCATCATTTCATCCAAATTACTCAAACACATACATCTGAAGCATTGACTGATACGGTGCTCAGGGGAAATTAATAGTATTCTCTCTTTTATGCTCAATACAAAACTTATTATTTGCAGTGTTCACATAGCAACCCTCCAAATAATGAACACTAAGCTTTTCTTTGGAGCTCAGTGTCCCAGCCTGGCTCTGCTCCAGCTGACTGAGTTAGTGCCTTTTCCTCAGTTGCATCATTGTGCCCCATTTGCATCGATATCAGCACTCCTGAGCGAAGGTGGGACCAGACTCTCCCTCCTCATTACACATCTCCCCCGGGCGATTTTATCCCGCAACAAATGCTGCCGCTGCATCTGCCACAGCTCTGCGCAGGCACTGAGACCGCGTCCCCTCACAAACCCGCCACAGATCTGCACGGGCAGCTAAATGAACAGTGATGAGGCTTCCCTTGCCCCGGGCACAGTCACTCAGCTGTACGGTAACAAGCATTTAGCGGCCATTTAATAGCAGGCTGTACATTCACGTCCAGCACGCGCGGCAGCCAAATCACCCGCTGACAGTCCTGCGTGGCAGCTTCTCAGAGTTCCTAATGACATTTGAACAAATGACTAAGCGTCTGTAAGGAAGCACAGAGCGCACCATATGCTTTCCTAAATACCCCCAGCGATCATATGCCGTGAAAATGCATGCACGTGCAGCTCTGGAAGTGATTCAACAGCCTGGCATGCAGCACCAGCCAGAGATAATGACACACAAGACTGCTTTTTACAACTCATCACCTGCACGATACCTGCACACCTGCATGTGGGGCACCATCAGGGACAGTGGGTGTGAATCCTGCGAGTCTGTGAACTGCAACTTCCCCAAACATACTGTGAATTGCGCGTTTTTACGCAATTAGCGATAATAAGGTACCCCGCGCCTTTACCAAGACCTTAACAATCTCTGTGAGGGCAGACTGCAGGATGATCACACCCAAAATTAAGAGAGGAAGCTTAAGAGACGGGAAGGACAGTGTCAAAGTGTGTGGAGGCATGAATCACTGATGAATATGCAGAGTAATATAAAGGTTTGAGGAATTTGGCGCATACGCATTTTCTCATTGTCCAAATCATCCAGCTCCTGTGCCTTATACAGAAAGAGAGTCAAATATTTTTCTAATGTGCCAAAATCCTCAATTTCGTGCCCAGAAATGAGGCTTAACACGAGCGCAGTGCTCCGAGAAGGATCCACATGCAGCGCAACATCGCTCACAACCACAAATACACAGTCACCTACAAATGGAACAGAAACGCAAAAATAAACTGTCAATGCTCGATTAGATTCCGCATTTCTACTCACCAAAGAGGGAGTTGGCGAATCCGTACCACACGCATCCGCCGTCTCCTATGAGCCACCGTCCCTGCGTGCTGGCGGCGAAGCTGAACGGAGTCCCCAGTACGCACACCAGCAGGTCGCTGATGGAAATGTTAATCAGGAGCAGGTTGATGGGCGACCGCAGCATCTTGTAGCGGCAGAAGAGCACGAGCACCAGCAGGTTGTTCATAAGTCCGAGAGTGCCGATGAAGCCAAGGCACACGGCCACAATCAGGTGCCCCGTCGGGGTGAGGGTGGTCCGGTATGAGCCTCCCCCCAAGTGCCCTTCCCCGGCTGCGGCGCACAGAGCGCTGTTGACCCCTGCGCAGCCGCTCAGGCTCACGTTGGACACGATCATGGCAGTCCGGTGTCACGGCGGTGGCACACTGGGTGGCCGCGACGCACTGAGCGACAGCTAATATGTCGTTGCCATTTTTTTTCTTTTTTTCTGTGTGTGGAAAGATAATGTAAAGACAAGCTGTCGCCAGTTGCTGGTTGCTGGATGCTGGTTGCCAGCGACACTTGTTGCTGTAAGAAATGTGGAAAAAGTTGAGCCAAGAGAAAATGTGGGACAGTAAAAAAGTTTGTTTGTTGGGGATGTCAAAACTTTGTTGCGCTCAGGGGGAGGAGGGGAAATTTAGATTTGGTTCGTCTTTGCTCCACCGTGTGGCACACTCTCACTCTTTCCACAGGCGCTCCTGTCTCTCACACAGACACCTTCCCTCTCTGGCCGTGTTTAAATCACTGTTGCCCGCTCTGCTGCAGCTGACGTCTGGGCTGAGGGGGGGCGGAGGCGGAGCACGGTGCAGGTTCAGTGGGGAGCAGCGTGGAAATCAGACCGTGATCATGTGGCTCAGAGACGGTGCTGCTACACTCAAGCTGCTGGAAGACAGTCCGGCTTAAAGTTTCAGGAGCTGCTCTGTCTGTCCCTGTCTTTGTCCCTGACTCTGTTCCTGTCTCTGTCTCTGCCTCTGTCCCTGTCCCTGTCTCTGTCTCTGTCTCTGTCTCTGTCCCTGTCTCTGTCTCTGTCCCTGTCCCTGTCCCTGTCTTTGTCCCTGTCCCTGTCTTTGTCCCTGACTCTGTCTCTGTCTCTGTCTCTGTCCCTGTCCCTGTCTCTGCCCCTGCCCCTGTCTTTGCCTCTGTCTCTGTCTCTGTCCCTGCCTCTGTCCCTGTCTCTGCCCCTGTCTCTGTCTCTGTCTCTGTCCCTGTCTCTGCCCCTGTCTCTGTCTCTGTCCCTGCCCCTGCCCCTGTCTCTGTCCCTGTCTCTCCCTGTCCCTGTCCCTTTCCCTTTCCCTTCCCTCCCCCTGCCTTTGTCTCTGTCTCTGTCTCTGTTCCTGTCCCTGTCTCTGTCCCTGTCTCTGTCTCTGTCTCTCTCCCTCTCTCTCCTAGTGCTGAGCACATATTGACGTTCGCCTCTGTCCGTGGTGCTGAACACAGTCTCTGGGGAGCGAATCAGCAGCAACTCCACTCATCAGCTGTTTACTCTGGTCCGTCTGTATTTTAATAGCAGGGTTGAAATAAATACATAAAATTGATTTAAGAGTGCAAAGCTGTGCGCATTAATATCTTTGAGTCAGGTCATTAAATATGAGCGCAGGGACATTTACTATACAATGAATACCTACCATCCACAGAGGACTTTGAAAAGACTTTTAAAAGAATAAAGTCTGACGCCCTCACATCTAAGATTATGCAAAGACTGGGGAGCTTACAGGGTCACTATTTGCAAGACTGTAACTAGATTCCTTTCAAGATTATTTCTAATTCTGCTCCTGGTGGAAATTATTACGCCAAAGTGCCTATAGGAAATGTGACAGAACACTAATTTCTTACCTATCTGCAAAAACACGTCTAGAATAGGGGGGGGCGATGTGGCCCTAAAATAATGTCCTGATATTTCAGGGTATTTTTGCGATAACGGTATTCTTGAGGATATGAGAAATAAAATAGAAATTTAAGAAGATTAAATTGTAACAAAATAAGTGATACAGTTTGCTTCAAATATTCAGTAAAAACTAAACAAAAATGATCTCTCATGTCTGTAGTTTGTGAACAACAACAGTAACTCAGAGTGAGATTCAGATTCTGTTTACAATATTAATAGTTCAACAAAATAAAATCTACCACAAATTACACATTGAAACAGCTCATCACTTGACGACACCGACTCCCGTGTGCGTACAGCGAGAGAGGAGAGGGAGAGACGCCGTGCTGCTGCCAGAGGAGCCGCTGAATGAGTTCCCTCTGAGAGGTAAGTCACTAAAAGAGTCTGAGAAGTCCGGGGCTGTTCATAAAACATTCAGGACGCCACAGTTTATTCCAAACTACTGAAGCTGCTCCTCTTTCTGGAACCACCACGTAGTCGCTAATAACTTAGCTCTCAGCCATGCTTGTTGTTGCCGTGGGTAACAGTATGACGTCAATATGTCAACAAGATTCTTTTTTTGGCTTTTTGCCTGTATTAGATGGGGCAATCTAAGTGTGTGGGGGGATGACATGCGGCAAGGACATTGCTTTCTTTAATGGGACACCTGCTTCACCCACTAAGCCACCAGGTGTCCCATTAAACATGGACTCTTGTTCACTCCGCCAGCTCTTCCTCATTTTCCCACCAGAAAACTGAGGCTTGTTCATGTTCTTGTGCCTCCTCTGAGTCCCCTCTGTGCAGAGGTCTCTTCCTCTCCAAACAAACGGACCAGGTGATTTAAACCAGTAAAAACACTGGAGACAGCAGTTTCACGTTACAAATCAGTGTTTCTCCGGTGCTGTTTGGCTCAGCTGCTGCTAATGTGAGCTCACCTTTTTCTCTGATAATTTAAGATCCAGATGATCCAGATCCAGACCCACTGATTTAGATCGTTAAAAACACTGAATAAAGCAGTTTCACGTAAAAAACAACAAAAACAGACGCTGCCTGTCGTGGAGGGGCTGCTACCTACGGTGGCTGACACGAAAATGCAAATGTCCCTGTCTAGAGCCAGTGTTTGATTTGTCTTTAATGGGCCACGGTAGAACATGGTTGTGTGACATGGTCATCTCCATGGACGAGGACCTGTCATGATCCTGGATTTTTGTTTATATTCTCTTACCTTGTGGACTTTGTTTTGGGGTTTTCTGTTTGTCTTCTTCCTTGTTTCATGTCATTCATTCATTCATGTTTAATCTGTTTCATTCTTTCATCTGTTGTTTTATTTTGTAGATTCTCTGCTTGTGGTCATAAAGGGATGGACACGGTCAGCAACAATACTCAGGTAGGCTGTGGTGTTTAAATCATTCTCAGTTGGTACTAAGGGGCCCAAAGTGTGCCAAGAAAATATCCCCCACACCATTACACCACCACCAGCAACCTGAACTGTTGACACAAGGCAGGATGGATCCATGCTTTCATGTTGTTCACACCAAATTCTGACCCTACCATCTGAATGTGGCAGCAGAAATCCAGACTCATCAAACCAGGCAACATTTTTCCAATCTTCTATTGTCCAGTTTTGGTGATCCTGTGTGAACTGTAGCCTCAGTTTCCTGTTGTTAGCTGACAGGAGTGGCACCTGGTGTGGTCTTCTGTTGCTGTAGCCCATCTGCTTCAAGGTTCAACGTGTTGTTGGTTCAGAGCTGGTCTTCTGCAGACCTTGGTTGTAACCAGTGGTTATTTGAGTCACTGTTGCCTTTCTATCGTCTTGAACCAGTCTGGCCATTCTCCTCTGACCTCTGGCATCAACAAGGCATTTTCTCTTTGTTGGACCATACTCTGTAAACCCTAGAGATGGTTGTGTGTGAAAATCCCAGTAGATCAGCAGTTTCTGACACACCAGCCCGTCTGGCACCAACAACCATGCCACGTTCAAAGTCACTTAAATCACCTTTCTTCCCCATTCTGATGCTCAGTTTGAACTTCAGCAGGGCATCTTGACCATGTCTACATGCCTAAATGCATTGAGATGCTGCCACGTGATTGGCTGATTAATTTGCTTAACAAGCAGTTGAACAAGTGTACCTATTAAAGTGGCTGGTGAGTGTATATGACAGGACACAGTCCCTTTGTAGACATAAACGGCTCATTCTAAGGTAGTAAAAACAGAACGGTTTTTATTTTCAGGTAATTGCACACTAACGAAAACACACTTCTTATATTTTATTCCATTTCTGCCAGTTTCTCCCTCTAAATCCTTCACACTGGACCTTTAAGACAACTCGTACTGAGTTTTATGACCACCTTACACTGTACACCAAACAGTGGAGATCACATGAGTGTTCACCACCTAAGGTAAAACTTTCATGATTTTATTCCAACCTTTGAAAACTGTCTGTGACAGTAAAATTTGCTTTAAAAGTCATTTGGTGTGAGGCCAGCATATATCACACCTTAAGTTTGCTTTAAAATGAAACGTTGTCCATTTTTTGGCACAAATGGACGTCTTAAGAATATAGTGCTGTACTTTTAGTTAAGAACAATTAATCGAGGCACTGCTGACTCATTGTCTGGATTTAGCCTCACACAATAGTCAGAATCACTCTCATGTCAAAAATTCCAGGTGACTCAATTTGGTGTTGTTTCAGACCGTAAGATGGAGATGAGGTCACTTTGGGGCGCTGAGTAACACTCGGCAAAGCAGAAGTAAACTCAGCATGACTCCGAGCTGTCACCGTTACCTAGAGGTTTGGATATTTGGCATGTAAGCTGCTTTTTTACCCACAGAGGGAATCAATTTAAGTAGATTTTCCGCTGTCCGATGACTTTTTTCCTTTCTGTTTTGGTTGATTCTATCTGTGAAATTGAATCATCATTTTTTCCCCCCGTCTGCCAGCAGTGAAAACATACACTCCAGATATGGCAGCTTCAGACTGGAATAATGAGGAGCAGAGAAATGCTAAAACATGATGAGTGTCAGGCATCTACCCTCATGGTGTCCACATATTCTAGCACAGGCTGAGAGAAGCAGCGAGCCTTGTTTTGCAGATAGCACACCCTGTGCTACTGAACCTTTGCTCCCGACTGAGTCAAACAAGCACAATCTGGACCAGCTACCTGCTCCGCTGCAGTGCTAAACAACCCTCTCATCTGCTAACTACTTTACATGGGTGACAGTTTAAGTGCGACCAGATGTAGACAGTACGAACAGCATGTCCTAATTTTAATGAGGTGGTCGCATATTAAGACTATGAATTTTTTAAAGTAACAGTAAGCAGATGTGGGAGTGCTTTAATGACTTCCTAGCAGAACAGTTTGTACCTGGCAGCAGGTAACACAGATGTCTCTTTTGGATGCTGTATCTGCTCCGACCATTGGGCAATAAAGCACAGACACCTACAAGATGATCCACCAACAAAAGAGTCAAGCACATGTCACAATGTCAGCAATTAGTTGGTAATTAAATGCAACTCCACGTGGTCAAACGCTGGCATTTGGTGTTAAAGTGGTGCTCTTAATTACAAGTGGCCGGGTAAAAATATGCCCTCTGGAAAGTAAGAAAGAATCAGATGGGAAACTTCCTCTCCTCCTTCATTCTCTGGTCTAATCCCCTCCCACCAAATAGCCCCCTTGTCACTGTGAAGCAAGGTAATTACCCATGAAAACTGTACAGTGACATTTACTCTGACATCTTCCCCATATACAGTCCTACCTGTAATTGGGCTAAATTAAGACACTTGGGTTCTATTGTGAATACCACCCCCATCTAATCATCTCACTGGGACTGTGCAGTTGGTATTTAGCTGG